TTGGAGACAGGACCCTCGGCCTGCAGAACCTTGGGCATGTGGCCTTACAGGTTGGCAGAGCCTCAGGGGTAGGACTGTCACACTAGAAGGCCCAGAAGGCAAAGTATCAAGTGAAAGAGGATTATTCTCAAACTTTAAGATGTAATGGAGTTTGTCTTGATAGGTTTTGGACCTGTTTGGGCTCCATTACCCCTTTCTTCCCTCTGGTCTCTCCCTTTTGGGATAGGAACTTCTATCCTATGCCTGTCCCACCACAGTATTTTGGAAGCACATAAGTTGCCTGGTGTCACAGGTTCACAGCCACAGAGGGATTTTTGCCTCAGGGTTAATTGTATGTCAAGTACCATAGACTGGGTGGCTTAAAGGACAGAAATTAATTTTCTTACAGTTCTAGAGACTAGATGTCTCAGATCAGAATGCCAGCATGGTCAGGTTCTGGTAAGGGCTCTTTCCCTGGCTTGCAGAGGATTTCCTTCTCACTGTGTCCTGAAATGGCAGAGAACTCAAGCTCCCTGGTGTCTCCTCTTTTAAGGGCACTAATCCCATCATGAGGGTCTCACCCTTATGACCTCATCTAAACCTAGTTACCTCCCAAAGGTCCCATCTCCAAATGCCATCACATTGGGGGTTAGGCCTTCAATATATGAATTTTTGGGAGACACAAACATTCAGCCCATAAGACTTTCCTTTTCTTTTGCCATATCTTTATATATGTGTGTATATATACATATATATATACATATATATATATATACTGTACTTATCCATTTTACTTTATATAAAGTATAATGTGTCTCAGTGTTTCTCAGTGATTTGCAGAAGGCTAGTATTTCCTGAATATTTTTAAGGGGTCTGCAAGATCAAAACTATTTTGATAATAATGCTAAAGTCTTATTTGTCTTACACTATTTTGACATTTGTACTGATAGTGCAAAAGCAATGTTGAGTAAAACTGCTGGTGTCTTAACATGAATTAAGGCAGTACCAGCAAAATATAGTTGGAGTCATTGAAGTCTTCACAGCTACAAAATCACAATTTAAAAAAATTCCTAGTTTTAGTATTCTGTAAGAATGTTCTAAATAAAGCCGAAATCCTGGTTATTTTATTAAATCTTGTCTTTTGAGTACATATCTTTATAATAATCTGCATAATGAAATGAGAATTACACGTAAAGCACTTCTGCTGAATATGAAAGTATGATGGTCGTCTCAAATAAAATGAGCTCCTTGTTCATGGAATATCAACTTTACATGAAAAAATAACTGCAGAAAAACTATGTTATTCATATTTGGGTGTTTGGCAAATATTTTATCAAAACTAAGTCAAGTAAGCCTGTCATATCAAAAAAGATAACTGAAGATATTTGTTGCCAAGATAAAATTCAAATTTCAAGTCAAATTTTGGAAAAATTTTATCTACCATTCTGAGCTTGACTTCTTCCCAATACTTACTGACTTTTCCAATGAGTTAAGTGGTGTGTGAACAATATGATTTCTCAATGTTTTCCAATAAACTGTGTCAACACATAAGAGATCTGCATAACTCAGTGGACTAAATGACCAATTCGTGATGTTACAAAACCATGCATGGGTAAGATTCATTCAAAGTGCAAGTTAGACCAATGTATTTTAAGGTACTAGAGTAAGAAAAGTTCATTGTTGTGTTCTCATAATTCACATTGCAACTATTCTTTAGGAAACTACAACTTTTCAAGTTTCATAATATTAAAGAAAACTATCATTATTTGAAAAAGTTTATTTTTTTATAAATATAAAATTATAACATTATTCCTTTTCCAGCTACATCTGTGTGAGGCCAAATTTCCTTCATATATGTTTACCAAAACAATATATCACAACAGATAAAATGCAGAAGCGTATATTAGAATCCAACTTTATTCTATTGAGGCAGACATCAAAAGATTTAAAAATGTAAACCAGTGCCACTCTTCTCACCAAATTTCTTTTGGTTTGAAATATATTAGTTATATTTTATCAAAGTTTTCCTATTCATATTAAAACTGAATAAGGTTATCATTTTTAATTTTGCAGGAATGAATAAATATTTTTAAAACCCATTGGTTTAGATTTATAATATGATAAATATCAATAGATACAGCCCACAGAAATAAAAGTCCTCTAGTGTCCTTAATAATTACTCATGTATGAAAGGTCCTGAGACCAAAAGGTTTGACATTTTCCAGCATAGTAGTTAGGAGTGTGGACTCTGGGGCCAGATGGCTCAGGTCCAAATTCTAACTACCCCTTTCTAGTTTTATGACCCTGGGAAATTTATTTAACTCCATTAGGTTTTTTGACACTTTTGTGCTTCAGTTTTTTCTTCTGTCAAAGACAATAATAGGAGCAACTAACTTACGTGGTCGTTTTGAGAGTTAAATATAACGTTGCATGGTTAGCATCTTGCCTGGAACATAGTATGAGCTATATGCATCACTATTAGATTCATGATGCTAATAATCACATCATCATGATTCATATGTGATTGACACTGTTTACCCTTGAACAGCTATCTTATGAAATTTATTTAAGGAGGAAAGGCCATGCCATAAGCAAGTGGGGTTAATGCTCGTAGTTCAGGGTTATCCAGGCGAGTATTTTTTAGCCTTTGCAATTTCCCAGCTTGGTTGAGCTGCTGCAGAATTCCTCGGTAAGCAGTGTCTCTTTCCTCTCCCTGGCCTCCTTGGTGAATGGCCTTGGGGTTATCTGAGGCTGATTCCCCAATTCATGTCTACTTTTTCTGCTTCTCAAAAGCTTATGCCATTAAGAGTTCAAGACGCTCCCATTGCCAGCCTTTTCATTCATACCTGCTGTGCCCAAGAGGAGAGTTTTGGATTTTCTACTTGCTTTCAGCAACTGTGATCTTCTGGCTCCTCTGCAACAGTGTTTTTTCCTAGCCACACTTCTCACTCCTGTTTGGTCTTCCCTGAATTGGGCATCCCTTCTCCTGATGCTGTGGCTCAGAGTGTCCAATTTTATCTGGTTTCATCAATGATGGATTTAGAATTTCACTCTATTACGCATTCTCTCATTCTTCTTGCCACTTTAGGGGCATTTTTAAGAAGCAAATCTAAGACAAACAAACAAGACATCTGTTTTAATATCAGCAAATTCTGTGTTAACACAGCCCCTGGTATACACTATTTTCACACTTCACATATGTGTTTTGTGAACTGATGAAAAGACAGCAATCACAGGAAAAGAGTGATATGAGGCATTCTCTTATTATTAGACTATATTTGTCACTTGGTGTTATTCTCTCACCAAACTAGTGATAATGAAAGACCTAAGCTGGTTTCCACTTATGTCACTGTGCTCTAGCCTAGCCACATATGTTCTATGGAAACTGAAAAGCAAAGAAAAACCCTTTTCTCCAAAAAAAAAATTAATTTTTGGGAGCTTCTCATGATCCTTACTCCAAGATTACCAAGAGTGAGTTCCATGTTGGATGTCGCCTTTCTTTTTCCACAAATCACATCACTCATCGGGCCTCAGCCACAGCTCTCCTGGTATGATATGTACAAAGGATGGAAAAGAAATTATTTAAAAACATTTGAAAGGGAAAAAGAAAAAAAAAATGGATGATTTTTTAGAAAGATATTTAATCAGAATAGCTTCACTTGATTGCACACCTTTGCTTTTCTCTGGTGTTTCAGCCTTAGCAAACATGGTTTTAATTTTGAATACTACCTGGTGTTAAATTATTTTTCCACCAAGCCAAAAAAGAATATGTAATGGATTCCAGATTCAGTGCAGTTTTGAGAAACACGAGATATTTCAGAGCCCTGGAGGATAATGAAATGCTAGCAAAACTTCAAAGAAAAACCCCCAAGAAGAAATACTCAAATTCACATCTTGAGCTCTCTGGGCTGTTTTTCTAACCACGAGAGAGGTCAGCCTTACTCAACCATAGAAACAGGTGAAAAATGGGCAGTTAACGTAGCAGAACACTTTCCATTGCTATACTTAGAGTTGTTTTTGCCTCCCCTGTAACAAATCTGGAGCTAGAACATGATTAATTTTAATTGTCCTGCCGTGGATGCAGAATGGGTGCCAAGCTGAGTTTTAATCACGTTTTCAATCACCGTTCTTTTGGTTCTTCTCTTCACGTGGCTGTGACACATGGTCCAGGACTGAAAGTCTGAGGGAGGAGGCCAGGCGGGGCTCATGGCTGCCTGTGGACAACCTTATTCATGCTTCTCACTCCTAACGATGGGAGGGAGCTCAGGAGCGGGTGACAGCTGTGATGATTCTGGATTATTATTATTATTTTTTTAATAGGAACCAATGTCAACCAAGCACACATGTAAGTCTGATGACCAACTCTTTTGCTTTAGGTGATAAAATAAACAATCATGCCAACATTTAGGAGAGCCGATGAAACCAGTTTAATTGTGAAAGTGAGATGCTGAGAGGAGACAGTTGGATCTCTGTAAAGATTCACTCAGAGCTAGAACATTCTTTGTCCCTATTTCAAAAGTGACCTGCCACGTTTCTTCTCTTAAGGGACTCTGGAGACTTTCTGAATTTTTAAAAACTGTGATTAGGAAATCCAACCCTCACTTGTAAATCAGGGCGTGCGAAGTGTATTTTTATGGACCTGGCCAAAGCATATACTGAACTCCTGCGCTGACATGAAGGTGACTATGGGGAGAGAAAAATCTTCCAAAGGCAGGGGTGACAGAAAGGAATGTGGCATTCAGTGACGGTAGGTGGAGGAGGGAGCTGAGTTATGGGAACCTCAATGGGAACTAGATGGCCAGTAACATAAACTCCCAACGCCCCTGGCTTGGAAAAATATAATGGCTCCATCAACCTATGTGACGGTAAGTCTTGGGACCTCATGAACTTGGGTTTGAATCCCAATTCCATCATTAATTGACTAGATGTTGGCTATATGAGACCTCTCTGTAACATCTTCATAATTTTTTGTAAATATAAAACTATTTTAAATTTAAAAAAAAACGTTTATTTAAAAAAATGTAGTTTCTCTTGTTCAAAGAGCAGGGGGAAGAAGTGATGTTTCTATTCATCTGTAGTCTGCAGTCTCTCTCTTGTCCTGTCAAGATGTTATTTGCTATTTAAATGTCCTTGCCCCTTGGCCACAGGATACTCTTGAGGCAGGAGGGCCTCACCCCAGGACTCAGCACTGCTGGTGTCCCATGTCAATCCTGCCTGCACCTGAGACAAAGTCCCAACCCCAGGTGTGGTGGCAGCAGCCTCCATGCAGAGCTGGGGGAGTTGATGGCTAGAACCTGTCCCAGGGAGGCAGGAAGGCTAGGAGGTGGGAGGAGGTGGAGCTGTCTCCAGACTCTTGATGCATGATCTGGTCTTCCAGCAGCCTTCATTTACAAAAATAAAATTCAAAGAAAGATTTTTAAGAATTTCAAGGTGATCACCACCACAGAGCATTAACTCCCAGCATGAGGTTCCCTTCTGGGCATGGGACCCTGTGCCACTGCACGGGTTACATGACCATGTCACCATCCCTGCTTTATGTTTGTCCTTGCCCACATCAGCCCTTCCATTATCTCCACAAGGAAAAGCAGAGGACAAACCACTGTCTGTGATTTAGGATAAGAAGTTAGTAATTGTTTTTATTGCATAGACTACTCTGGCAATCTGGTGAATCCTACTGACCTGTCCTCTGAATAAGTTTTCATACACTTAGTGCGTTTTATAGAGTTCATTTAAAATATGCCCCTGCGTATCGCAGTTTTATGTGCAGATTCTTGTACAACATAACCGGCCAACTCTCAGGTAATTCTGTGCCCAGTAGACCTTTTTCATGGTTTAGCCATACATTATCATGTTGGTGATTCAAATATCTACAATGCATTCTAGTATACCCTATCTACAATCTTGTGTTGATCAATGTTTGGATAAAGTGTTATCAAAGACCATCCCACAGTATAACATTCTTATTCCAGCTGAGCAACAAGAGCCTTTATACTGAAAGTCTTTAACATTGAACATGACCTTGAAGCTTTGGAATATCACTTGTTTTGGAGAATGCTAAAGAGAACTGAATTCATAACTGTCTGGATTCCCTGAGGTCGGCTGAAATGGCATGATTAAAAATCAGGGTAAAAGAAGAAACAATATGAAAGAAAATGAAAATAAAGGGGTAGAGGAAACAGCTCATGTTATGAAACTCTTAGAACAGCATTTTAAGGATGAAAATAAAATTAAATTAAATGCTAGATTTCACATAGAATTAGCAAAAGAGACAGAGAGAGAGAGAGAGATGATTTTTCCCATCTAAGTTAATGGAATTATATCCATGTATAATCGAGGGTTGAGGACCCTCCTGTAGCAAGTATGCAAGACACAGTCCCACATGGGCAGGCATGGGCAGTCCCACCCAGCCTGCCTTGGCCCATGTGCAATGGCACGCTTGGCTGATATATCTGGCCATAGTAGAATGGGCTATTGGGTCATCAACAGCTGGGGCTGTAATTCCAGGTGGTGATGGAAGTACCTAAATTGCCCCCTGGAAATGAGGCACCAAAGAACTAGGAGGGAAATGCATCCCTTTATGATGCTCATAAAGTGAGCATCATGAACACTCCTTTGAAGTACCTGGTAACGTGATTATTTGATCCATTGCAGAAGCACCAGCCCCACTCATTTGTGTGTGAGCTCTGTGAGTGAGTCCTGAGCCATTTTGTTGGACTTCAGCAAGGACCAGAAAATGCATCTAGGAAAGAAGATAAAAACTCATTTTCAAATCTGTCTTTGCTATCCTTTGGAGAAACACCATCATTTCTCATTCATATCAATTCTTTCATCTAAGGACCATGAAGTACGACCTCAAATGTTTTTCAGATGCCAAATGGAACGTGTGTTGGAGGAAAATAAGTTATTCCTGTTTAGTGGACATATTCAGCTCTGTTATTTATGTTACAGAAGAAAACAAACAAATGGGTTCTGAGAGAATCCTTTCTACTGCATATCACTTTAAATAAAAAAAAATAAAGGAGAAGATATATAGTAATATATAGTCAAAATGAAAAATATTATCCAAGGAGAAAAAACCCTTCTCCTTTATTTATAACTCTCTCTCTATGGTTGTTGATGGTTCAAAGCATGAATCACCTAGAACCTTTTGAAGTCCTTCAACTAATTAGCTTATTTTTGTTTGTTAATGAAAGTTTCTTTTTGTCTCCATCCTACTCCTACCCAAAACTTTAGTGTTACTTAGTTACTTACTGCTTAGCTATGGAATGTAATAAATTTACTTCTTATAATATTAAAGATTTATATCCTACTTACTTTTAAAAGGGCTTGAGTCAGCCAGTAACCTTTCTGAGTGTGACAAGGCCATGGTAATTTTTTTTTTCCTGCTTATGACATGTCATTCTGTCTCCATGAATACAAATGATCTCACTTCTTGCTTGTGCAGCTGATGAGGTCATGAAATTTAAAGGAGAATTAGTTCCTAGTTTTTCAAATTGACATCATTAATTCCCTGCCTCTTGGAGACTTGGCAATCAAGGTGTAAGGTAATACCTGAAAAGGGAGAAATCCCAACCTTGCATCAAGTTGACTCGGCACTACCATGATATGACGTGATGTTCATCCAATTCCGAAACACTTTGAGTCTGCTGGCTCCCTGTCTACTCAGCAATTCCATAACTTGATACGATGGGTTTTCTGAAAAATCATTTATAGGAAATACACTGACTTCAACTCCCAAAGACTTGAAGTCTTTTAAGACTTTTAAGCTTCAGGTGCTGAAAATGAATGAAAAAAATATAGATGAAAATGGTTCTGGCCAATATGTGTAGGTGTTTCCTCTCAGGTTTCCCCTCAAAGGTTCTAGCATTGTGAACTAATTTCTGTCTCCTCCAGGTCATACCTAAGTGGTGACTGAGGAATGTCAAGGATTTACAAGGAATGTTTCAAAATAGAGCTTCCATTGTGAGGGCAGGAAACACTAGGAGGTCAAGGCAAGTCAGGAGAACACAGCGAGAAATGCTTCAATCCTGGACCTGGCTTTCGGTAGACCCCAGGTAGGTCACTAGTGGCTACAACCAACTCAAGTAGTTGGTGGTAAGACAAGGACCACAGCATGGACCACTTAATGCTCCAAAAGTATTCCAAGAATGATTGCATGGGACAATGATTTTAAAAAATCAGGAATAAATACTATCGCTGTTCTTCAAGAGAAACTTAAATGTGTCAAGAAACTTTATTACTATTTTCTTATTAATATTATTATTACTAGTTGTCTAGGGGGGAAAAACATATGTCTAGAAGGTCTGTAGCTATTTTCATCATCATTATAATAGCAACAACAGCAAAGGAAATGGAAATTGCTATCACTAAGTGCCTACCTGTGTTAGGCTCTGAACTATATGCAGCATTTTTTGTTTTTTATATTGTTATACAAATACTGAAATAAATGCTCAGATAATCTGAGTGCATTGCCAACGCCTTACAGCTTGTTCATGGCGAAGCTAGGATTTCAACCATGTGGGCTGTTCACTAGGCTGTTTACTTCCTTCTCTCTACTATGATTACTTTTTTGTAGAAAATGGAATCAGTGAGGAACATAGTGTAGGTGTCAGGACTCTAACAAACTATTAACAACAAGAATAATAGCAACAATAGGGTATGTGTATATAAGCACACACACACACAGACATACATGCACACACATATGTACACAGTACCAATCTTAAGGAACTTCTATGGCTTGTCAGAACTTAGAAAAATGAAAAATTATTTCTCTCTTCAGAAAACCTTTGGAGACCTAACCACTCAAAATATTAGTGGAAACAGTATAAAGAAAAAAATAGCCACTCCATTAAGAGACAGAAAAATTGTGAGATCTTGCTGAGAGAAGTAGAGATGAAGCTTTATAATAGGTTTTCAGATACTTGGGTATGACCAGTTATTTCCCATTTTCTTTGTGAGCAGATAAAAGGAGGAGCTTGGCTTCAAATATGGCACATAGACAATTAAAGAAATAGCTAACTGTGGAATTAAGACCTGGGGTAGGATATTGATGATGGTTATGGACTCATCAAGTCTCTTAGTTCTAACAAAATTTAGAGCTCATTGTTTCCTGGAAATGGTTCTTCAGTGCTTGAGAAATAGTGCATCACAGCTGCATGAATTTGAGCAGGTTACTTAACCTTCTGAAACCTCATTTTTCTCATTTTTATATAGGGGATATATTATCCACAATAAAAATGTATATCATGCTTTTAACACAGTGTTTGGCACATAGTTAACACACATTAGCTATTACTGGTTCTGTTGTAGTTTTTAGGTATGGTCTGGTCTGAAAATAGGACTGTGGGTTCCATTGCATTACCTACCATTCCCCTTCAGGTAAAAGACACGCAATAAACATTTGTCATTTTATGGCTACTGGAATTTGAATACATTTTCTATTTGGCAGGAATCACAAGACTGGTATAAGCCACAGGGAGGCAGACATATCTTCACTCAACTTTCTGGCAGTTAGAATGGAGACATGTGATGTTGGCTGGCTGATTAAATGGGTTTTGAATATGGAAGAGTGGACAATAAAAGCAGAGGCCACTAGCGCTTGTTTTGTGAAGCTGTAACTGGAGTGAATGTATAGTGGATTGTCACTGTGTGCTGGGGATTATGTAATATCATGGGACAGCAGCTAATCTGCAATGGTAATGGCACCTGTAGTAGCAGCCTAAGCAGACTATTTATATCATGGAGCGTTGGCCATTTCTAGTTTCCTTTGGCTCTTGTCTGTATTTTCAAGCTTGGTTCTCCACTTATTTCAATGATTCTATGATGTATTTGTCAGCTATATCCACAAAAATTCTGTAGAACAATCTCCACTCCCCAAGCCCCCAATTAGTAAGAGCTAATGACATTTAACATAAGCATTTGTTTTAAACTCCTATAAATTCAGGTTGGTAGGAGATTAGCTCTTCTAGGCTAGACTTTGCAGGGCTTGGCTCCAAGCTGTGGTCAAGTCCAGATCTGCTCCATGTTTTCCTCACCTACCTTGTAATAGCAGTATTTTTTTCTGATGGTGAAAGGTCAGAATGCATGACAGCAGGCCGACTGAGCACCCACATTTCAAGTCTCTGCTTATATCACATCTTCTAACATCTGATTGGACAAAGTCCCAGGGTTTAGTACATCAATGGGGTAGGGAAATTTCATATGCTGCCCCTAGTGGAAGGAACTGTAACATCTCAGAGAAAGGCTATTGCAAAGACTAAGGCTGTGTATACAAAGAAGGGTGAAGAATCGAGAACAATAAGGCAATCAACCCTATATGAGTTCCTCAATGTCCTTCCAAAAACAGACTCTTCTGTTTAAATCAGTGTTTGTTTCTATATTTTTTTAAACAAAGAATCTTGATATATAGCACAGAGACTATTAAGGGAGTGAACTGTGTTTCCTTATACAGTTTAGGAGAATGTCAGATTGTTATCTGGCCTGGATGGAAATGAAGGCAATGAAAATCTGGTATCCAGACTATTAAAGGATAGTAATATAGCAACCTATGAAACATACTTGCAACAAAATAAATTATTGCCTATTGTGACCTGGAGTACCCACTAAAAGCCACTAAGTGACTAGTGCTTTGGTGTCATCTAAAGTACATATAGTATTCGAAGAGTGAAGGGTGTTGTGGTCATATCTAATAGCACTGGATAGCTTTAAAAATGATTAGTAAAGTCTCAGGTTACAAAATCAATATATACAAATCAGAGGCATTCATATATGCCAAGAACCATCAAACCGAAGCTCAAATCAAAAACGCAATTCCTTTTACTATAGCCCCAAAGAAAATTAAATATATAGGAATATATCTAATAAAAGATACGAAAGACTTATACAAGGAGAACTACGAAACGCTAAAAAAAAAAACTGTAGAAGATGAAAACAGATAGAAAAATCTGCCTTGTTCATGGATTGCTAGAATCAATATCATTAAAATGTCAGTATTACCTAAAGTCATCTACTGAATTAATGCAATTCCCATCAATGTACCACCATCATTCTTCATAGATCTAGAAAAAATAATTCTTCACTTTGTATGGAACCAGAAAAAACCACATATAGCTAAAGCAATCTAAAGTAAAAAGAACAAACTGAGAGGCATCAGTCTTCCTGACTTCAAGCTGTACTAGAAAGCAATAATAATTAAATCAGCATGGGACTGGCACAAGAACAGAAGCATTGATATTTGGAATAGGTCTGAGATTACAGAGATGAAACCATCTGCATATGGTAACCTAATCTTTGATAAAGCAGATAAAAATATCCATTGGGGGAAAAGAATCTATCTTCAATAAATGGTGCTGGGAAAACTGGATAGCTACATGCAGAAGAATGAATCAGGCATCCTACCTCTCACCTCTCACAAACATCCACTCAAGATGGATAACAGACTTAAACCTAAGGCACGAAACCGTAAGAATCCTAGAAGAAGATGTTGGGAAAACCCTTTCTGACATTGGCCTAGTCAAAGAATTCTTGAGGAAGACCCCCAAAGCAATCACCACAGCAACAGAAATAAATGAATGGGATCTGATCAAATTAAAAAGCTTCTGCTCAGCCAAAGAAACTATCATTAGAGTTAATAGACAACCTACAGAATGGCAGAAAATATTTGCTGTCTATACTTCCAATAAAGGTTTGATAACAAGAATCTATCTAGAACTCAAAAGATTTAACAAGAAAAAGTCAAACAACCCCATCAAGAAATGAGCAATGGAAATGAACAGAAACTTTTCTGTTGGAAAATGGAATAATGGCCTAAAAACATATAAAAAATGGAATAATGGAATAATGGCCTAAAAACATATAAAAAATGTACATCTCTAATCATTAGAGAAATGCAAATCAAAACCACAAGGAGATACCATCTAACCCCAGTGAGATTGGCATGTATCAAGAAATCCCAAAACAACAAATGCCGGCGAGGATGTGGAGAGACAGAAACACTCTTTCACTGCTGGTGGGACTGAAAATTAGTGCAACCTTTGTGGAAAAGAATTTGAAGATACCTCAAACAGCTAAAAATAGAAATACCATTCAACCCAGCAATAGCATTATTAGGCATCTACCCAAAAGAGCATAAGACATTCTATTTTAAAGACATCTGCACCCAAATGTTTATGGCAGCACAATTCACTATTGCAAGGATGTGGAAACAATCTAAGTGCTCATCAATTCATGACTGGATTATTAAAATTTGATATATATTTACAATGGAATATAACTCAATTCTAAGAAACAACAGTGAGCTAGCACCACTTATATTATCCTGGATTCAGCCTAAGTTCATTATCCAAAGCGAGGTGAC